AACATCGGGTCCGGTTTTTGCCCGAGCCGGACAGACTTGACCCAGCTGGGCCAGGACATTGGAACTCCTGAGTTGACCTGCCAAAAACCTGGGCTGGTTCGGGGCCTTTCGCTCATGCCTAGCCAAAATCGGGCCACCGATGGCCCAGAACACGACTGCCCGGCCCGCCCTTGGCCGACAGCCCAATCTAGAGGTTCGGCCCGGGGCAGTTTCGGGGCAGGGCTGACCTGGCAGGGCCCAGCCCGCCCCCGTGCTCAACCCTACTGTACAGTACAGCACCACACTTATTTATCATAGAATACAGGGGTGTAAAATTAACCAGAACCACATCTACTGAGGTTTCAGTTCAAAGGTTGGTGGCTCTGCTAGATGTTGGGAAAATTCTGGCTGCCTTTCGCTTGCCTAGTCTGCTTTTCAGGTTAAGAGGAGGTGATGTAGCAGTCATGGCATGAAGAGAACGAGTTGTTAGCCTTCAGCAGAGTCGAGCGTCTGTGCCGAAGGGGTAGACGTATGCGCAGGCATTTATCAAAGTGGGTTGGACACGGAAGGAGGTAAAAACCAGTTAGGAAGGATGTCATGGAAACGGTTCTTTCTCCTAGTAACCATTTTCACCCTACGAAAGTTTCCACTCAAAACTCTCGTAGGTAGGTTCACCATAACCTGGCAGGGACATCCCGTGACAAGCTATTCTCGTGACAAGGCCATTGTACGATGATGTTCACCACCTGCTCATCACGGGTTGGTCGCATTTACGTAGGCCAATGCTCGTGCTCATCTCTGCATATGCGCATCTCTCCATGCTCACAGTCATGTGTGCATGCTCCCACTCATACTCACAGTTTGGTCAGCCTGTTCAAGGCCGTGATGGAATCTGGAATGGATCCGGTTAATGGTACGAAGCTTATCCAACTGGTGGGCATTGGAATGAAATGGGTGGGGAACATGATAACTTTGTTATGGAACGGGATCAAGAGTGTAATAAAATGAGAGATTGGTGAATCCATCAAGGTGGTTTCGGTACTATTTGAGAAGGAGAGGCCCATGCAACCCACAAGTTGTCCACCTGTGCCTGCACTGCATGCATGGAGATGATAGAGACCTGGGAGGTGCATTTGGGTAGCATTCTACTGCACTGAACTCCTTTCAATATGAACCGCGCAACAGAAAACAGAGGGAAACGGAGAAGGGAAGGGGGATGATAAGGTAGGTTAGACGACATTGACACCTAGTACTGCCTCCAAATGTCTACCTTTCGTTTAACGATAGATTCTAACCTTAACAAAACTTTGAACATGACTTTAACATGGAATGATTCCAAAGGGTCCACGAAAGCAGACAGTGGGTTTGGATGAGAGGAGGACCGTGGGATGAACGGTTCAAGTAGCAAGGGAGTGCAAGTGAAGAACAAAGAAACACACAAAGGCATCCAGCGAATCCATGGTCCGCAAGGGCTCAATCAGCGAATGCAAGTACCTGCAGCTGCACCTGTTGCCATACCACTTGACATGCCAACTCGTGCTCTGACTTCTGCATGGTAGACCTACTGAAGCTGTCCCTGTCCTGCTCTCTTCCTCGTCAGACTTCATCTTTAAAGTGGTTTAAACATACAACTGTTGCAGCGTGGAAATTTTTTCCAGATGCAACTTTGAAAATGTTCACTTGCCCGATGATCCTTAATTCTTAATCCTGGTGAGTTAACATGGTACCATCCTAACATGCCTTCAAGAACTAATGGGCTCATCAAAGCAGACAGTCAGTTTGGAAGAGAGAGGGACAATGGCAAGAGCAGTTGAAGAAGAAAGGGAATGCAAGAGAAATACAAAGAAACACGTAGATTGCATGGCGAGCAAGGGTTAGCTCTCCAAAATGCAACAAGGGATTGCAAACGCAGAGCACGCAGAATGGTGGAGGGAGAGAAGATGTAGAGGCACTCAAGTCAAGTCTAGCAAGAGTTGGTGCACACATGGGGGGTGCAAGACCAGCTACAGTTGGTGCTCTCACATTTCAGTCACCATGCCTTGTTCATCGCAGTCCACATAGTCGGCCAAGCTGCAGTCCCCCCCAGCCACCCACCCCGAGAAATTCCGCCCCCATGCTTGCTGCAAGTCCGACAGGACTTGTTCTGGTGGCAGATGGTGGGGGAGAGGGGTGTAGGTAGGGAAGAGAAGGACAGAAGGAGGGTGTGGGGCAGGGGACAGAGGAAGGAAAAATGTATGTCATCACCCGTGTGTTGCACCCTTCTCCTCCTCTCTCACTCATCATCAGCCTGTGCAGCTGACCACGGAATTGACACCTGCGGTGGTGAAGTACCAAGAAACCATGACACGGAAATTGAAACTGCTGAGTGAAAAGCATCATGCAAATGGGACCAGCATGACGTGGTCTCTGATACATCCACTGGTAATGATAGTGCCATTGAAGATAGGAGGCTTAAACGGGAGAGGGGGTCAAATAAGGGGTATGTATGGCTGGGGATGTGCATTCCCTGAGCTCCATTAGGCACTTGAGTAAGTGATTTACGTACGACTGCTATGACTCATGGTGAAGATCCTAGGCACTCGAGCTGCAGCTCTTGCCATTGCTGCATCCAGCAATGGCAGCAAGCCATCAACACATAGAATTTTCCCCCCATGACTGCTGGAAGTCCAGCCAGCAGAAGTTGCACTGGCTGCAAAGCAGTAGGGGCCGCAATGGAGTAGGGGAAAAAAATCAAAGGGAGAGGGAGAAACGCCCTGCTTCTGAGGGGGTAAGAAGGAAAAAGAGATGAATACCTCCCTCTCTCAAACCCTGCACTGGACATTCGAGCAGACAACTTGAAGTGTGATGGGCAAGCACGCGTAAATTGAGAGGGATTAGGGAATATCGGGGAGATTTCTATCATGTTGCGAAACGACTTGCATGCTGCTGCATTCTCAAGGTGAAGTTGTCCGCTCAAGCTGCTAAGGATCATGCGTTGGATGAGAATCACGAATTTGAAGAATCATGGATCGTGCCAAATGGCACATCCGGTGTGCCCCTTGGCTTTGATAATCCGCTGCCATGCCACGATTGGTGCCACTGAGACTATCTTGTGCATGAGGTTTTGATAACTGGAGCGGCATGAGCTTGAACAACGAGACACGGGAAACATATCAGGGCACAAAGAAGGGGGGCATAGCAGCTGCTGCAGTTTTCTCCTGCTACTCTCTTCAGAGGAAAATTGGTGACAAGCCCCTATGAGTGCTGGACAAGTTTGAGGCTGAAACCTGAGCAGATTGAAACTGCTCTACACCCATACCTAAGCAAAGATAGAGGTTGAATCCACTCTACACACATTTCGACAGGCAAGAAGGCCATGGACAAGGCAAGGAAGGCAAGGTGTCGGCAGGTTCCAGCCACATCTGAAATGTGCCAACTGTGTGAAGGAAGCCCCAGCGGGCAGGATAAACTCTTTAAGCACTTGATCTTAAACCTCCATAGAAAACTGCGAGGGCAGGTAGTATCTGCTACCTAGGCCCTCTAGCTACGGTTACCGAAGGTGTCTTTGCGTTGTATGATGCACTTTCACCTACAAAAAACATAAATAAAAAGCTTGAACAGACTTTGTTGGTACGTTATTTCTGTTGGTGTTTCCACTGCTTCGCACTGCCCGTGACACGATCACAGCTGAGCTGAAATGCGCTCCGCGTCATCGTGGTGACACCTGAGTGTTCCTGCTGGAATGCTCCTACTAACGTCACCAAGACTACATAAGACATGAAAGCTATCAGGACAATAAATACATGAGAGAGGGTGGGGGTCGAGGGCAGGGGGGGCGCCTCGGGGGACCAACTGAACGCCAACTTTAAGTTCGTCTACTAGAACGAACCTTGGGAGGCTGCAAACGGGACACAGCGGATTGGAGAAACCACAGCGAGAAACGACAGAAAGAAGAGTAAGCGGAGTCGAATGATGCATCTCGCGCCTTCCGTTGCCATCGTGGTGCGGCAAGCTTCCAGTAGACCCTAAATTAGTTATTTTAATCGCTTGTGAATCTGTGCGCAATCAGTAGCAGTGGTTCTAAGCGTCAATAGAAACGCGTAAATACTTGTAGACGGTAAATAAAGAAACTACTGTATGATGAGAAACTACTCGTAGAACCTGGAGTGCAAGTTATGATGAGGAATCCATGTAAGCTAGCTTGAAATGAAGCTAGAGGAAAGAGAGTGGCAGGAGGAGGTGAGGGTTGGGTGATGGAAGTCCCCATCTTTCTTGCCAAGATCTGCTTTGCAACATGGCTGACGAACGTCAAATTCGCGAGTTGCGGCAATTACGAAAAGATCGTCAAGTTACCCTGCAATCGCGAATTCCAATGCGATACGAGTTTCGGTGGTGTTGTTGTACGCCAACAGGGCGTGTCGAGCCACCGAAAATCTCGCCAGGTCTGCGAGTCAGACGAATCAGGACAGCGGCTGACCCTGTTTGACGAACACCGACCTCTTACTCCCCGCAATAAAGAAATCCAGATGAACGCTAAAGCAAATGATATTTCTTTCAGCATACAAAGAGCCATGTTTAAACATGCAAATTAGGGTACGAACGACCTAGTGGCATCAGTATCTTTCGACAAAGGGAACCGCGATCTCTCCACACACCCCGAGATCTAGAATTTTCAAGCAGTCTAGCGATAATGTAGAATTGAGCGTTCACAGTTTCATCGTGTGACTAAACAACGGCAAGATGACACTGATGTGTGATGCTCATCGTCTAATCTACTCACTATGGGTTGTCAGAATGTCGTCTAAGATCCGATTTAAGAAGGGGACATCTCTCGCACCTCCTTCCACTCCCCATTTTTTCTTCCTTACCATCGCACAATTCCACTGTGCGACGCCGCCCGTTGCGTGAAGCATGAATGCGCAACTGACATCAGGCGGCATGAGGAAAATAAACGTCAGATACGCTTTTCTCATAAGCACAGAGTGGATTGCGAGAGGCGGCGTCGCGAGCATCGCAGGCGTCGAAGCTGCAAAGAGCAGCGAATGGAGTGGCGAGTTGACGATGGCGAGTCAAACGGTGATCACCATACTTGTCGCTTTGGAGGATTCTTAAATGTCATCATCGCCGCCTTCGATGCTGGTGCGAGGATCGTCTTCTCTCTCCCTCCTCCTCTCCCCATGCATGTTCCCCCCTTCTCCTCGCTAATTGTTGCTCCTTATCCTCCTGCGCTTGATGTGAGCGACAAACCTTATTTGCCCTTCCGAGACACCTAACAACATTGAATTTCCTTCTATGCTTCCCCTTCCCCACCTCCCTCATCCCCCCCCTCCCCCCCCCCCCCCCCCCCCCCCCCCCCAAAAAACCCCAACCTACCCCCTACCCCCTTCCTCGTTTCTCCGCACTCCCTTCCCCCCTCATGCTACCTGCCATCCTCTTACAGGCTACAGCGACGTGCTGGAGAATTGGGCGCTGCACGCGCAGGCAGTGGGTCCGGGTGGCCTTGACCTTCGCCGCGAGCAAGTAGCCGAGCAGGTGCGTCCTGCGGAGAGTGATGCATGGCTGGGTGCAACACGGTTGGGTGCTGCACGGTTGGGTGCTGCACGGTTGCAGAATGAGGGGGGGAGAGGAGGGATGGGAGGAGAGGAAAGGTGGGGGGTGTGGTTGGGGGAAGGGGATGGGGGAGGGGACGAGAGGAGAGGGACGAGAGGGATTAGGGCGGTTGGATGGAGACGGATAGGAATGGAGGGGGGCGAGGAGAGGTGGAGTGGGAAGTAGAGGAGAGGCGGGAGCTGGGAGAAGGGGGAAGGGGGGGGGTAATGGTTTTCGCCTTGATGGAAGTAGATGGGGGTGAGAAGTAGGAGGGTGTTGGGAGTGGCAGATGCGCTGCTGGTGGCTGGACGTTACTGGCCGCTCATGAGGGTGCACGTGCATGTAGAAGCGGTGCAAGTGAGCAAGCCCATGCTGTTGGATGGTGAATGCAGATGAGAGCAGGGCGACTTGGGAGAGACTGACCATGCTACACCAAGCAGGACGTGCAGCTTGGCCTACCTGAGGAAATTGGGGGGAAGTGGGAGGATTTGGGAGGGGTTGCGGTGCGAGAGAGGCGATTGTAGCGCAAGAGAAAGAGGGAAGTCGAGCTTCCCTGTAGCTGTCTGAAAAGGCAGACGAAGGAAGACGTGCTATTCAGGCAGATGCGACCCATATCGCCCTTTAGTTGTTTGGCGACGACAAGGGTGAGTCGAGTTGAGAGAGTGTAATCGCATCAGAACGAATCTCTTCGTCGGCCGTTGCTGATGCGATCGTTATCAGGTCGGATGGCGCACGTGGAAACGCATGCTTGGCATTAAGAAATATGATATGCGCTCCCATATTGCCATGATTAAGAAATGGGGTGCACCCATACGTTTCCCCGATGCTTCTGGCCGCTCTTGTCTTCGCCTTTCTTAACTATGTACGTTTTGGAACTCCCGTTTCCTGCCTTTGACCTTACTCCCTCCTCGTTTCAATGTTTGCTTTTGCATGCCCCCACCTTTCCTCGTTCCCGCGTTTCGCTTCTCAATCCTCGTCGTCGCCTGCCTTCTCGGACCTCCTCCCCAACCCTCTTTACCACTCTGCTTTCCGCATTCATTCCTACCCTCCTTTGTCCCCTGTCGCTTCCCACCGTCAGTCTCTGCAACATCGCGTCCGGTACAGTCAACATGTGATACACCTCACTCCCAGCCCTCGCCCCTCTCCCCCTTTCATCTCCCACCTCCTCCCCCTCCCTGTCCCTCTCGCCCGCTCCTCCTCCCTCCGCCTCCTGGTTACTGCTGAGCTTTAACGGCTAACGTAGCAGCTCCTGGGCGTGTCACGTGGCCATGACAGTGGCATGCTGAAGGGAAGACTGATTGCAGAATGAGATTTACAATGGATGACGTTGCAGATACCAGCGCTGCTAAATAGGCAGCGGGACGAAGCATCCCCATCTTTCTGGAGCAGCCGGTGAGAGCAGTACGTGAGAGCATGGGAGGGAAGAGAGATATATGGATTGTAAAGAGACATGTGGTGAAGGAAAGTAGAGGGTAGATAACATTTCGGGCCGGAGTGGGTGTGTGGTGGTGGGTAGTATTTTGCTGTCAACGGTGGGGGTGATGATGTGAGGGAGTGTGTGAGGTGTGACGGAAGACAGATGGGCGAGGAGTTTCCCTGTCTCTCCTACCACATGCACATTACCTCTGCTAGTTCTGCAGCTCCCACTGTGACTGCTCCTGCTGCTGATGCCAGAACCCGTGCTGATGGTGTTAGTGGCGATGCTTCTCCCGTCTCAGCTACCTCCTGCAACACGTTCATCTCATGGATTTCTATGTACCGTAACCTTCATACAATGTCCTCATGCCTACATTGCGTTGTGTCTGTTTCACTTTTAAGTGCTCCGCCCTGCCTCATCACTTTCCAATCGCCCCTAGCCCTCGTCTCTCCATTCCCAACATTTCCAGGACGACGCAGTGCAATGTAGGGCGCGCACCCACTGTCACTGCTCCCTTCCTCCCCTTCCCCATCCACCTCCGCCCTAACCCTGTCCATTCCATATCCCTTCCCCATGCCATAACCCCTGTTTTCCCTCGTCTCCCCCTTTCCCATCTTCAAGTTCTCCATTTGCCCAACTTTAGCCATTGCACCTGTAACTTCAACCATCACACCCAAATAGCTGTCTTCCCGTCTTGCCATTCATTTCGTAGATGAATCAAGTGACCCACCCCATCCCATACCCCATCCCGCCCATTCCATGAGTCACCCCATCCCACACCCCATCCCATGCCCCATCCCATACCTCGTCCCGTACCCCATCCCAAACCCCATCCCATCCCATCCCACACCCCATCCCACACCCCATCCCATACCCCATTCCACACCCCATCCCATACCAAATCCCACACCCCATCCCACACCCCATCCCATACCTTATTCCACACCCCATCCCATACCCCATCCGACACCCAACCCAAACCCTATCCCACACCCTATCCCACACCCCATCCCATATCCCATCCCATACCCCATCCCACACCCCCATCCCGTATCCCATCCCACAATCCATCCCATATCCCATCCCACACCCCATCCCATACCCCATCCCACACCCCATCCCACACCCCATCCCATACCCCATCCCACACCCCATCCCATACCGCATCCCACAACCCATCCCATACCCCATACCACACCCCATCCCATACCCCATCCCACACCCCATCCCATACCGCATCCCACACCCCATCCCATACCCCATACCACACCCCATCCCATACCCCATCCCACACCCCATCCCATATCCCATCCCATACCTCATCAGCTCACCTCACCTCTAATCCACATCCTCACCTCCTGCCTTCCAGCTAGCTGTCAGCATTTTGATTAAATTGTACGATCCCACCATGCCCTGCCTTTCATGCCATCGGGTCATGGCCTTTCCTTCGTCCAACTTATGACGAAAACATTGTGTCCCTCCCCGTCCTAGATCAACGTCATCACCCTCCCATCTTCTCCCCGCCTTCTCAAATCGCACTCGGGCAGCACCTCTGCCTCCTGTCCTCATCACAGGCAAATCAATGCAGTGAAGCGTGGCAGTACTCAACAACATCAGAGCTAACAGAACGAGCTGTTGCATCGCTACTGCTCTTGGTAAAAAATCCGGGCGAGGCCGCAATTCTTTGTTTTCTGCATGCCACTCTATTTCATTCCTTCGTTCCAGGGATTCAGATCCTTTCACTGTGTTGCCGCCTGCCGCCATTCCAGCAGTGGATACCTCAGGTGGATTGTTGAATAGTACCCTCGGCCAATAGAATGCCCTCAGGATGTACTATAGTAGCAAGCCACCTTATGTGGTTTTGTGTACAGGAGGCATGAACCTCCTGTCTGATGTATTACATAGTAGCAAGAGTTTTTGTCGTTGATGAGTTTGGAGGATCACCAAATGAACATGATTACCAGTAATTGAGCATACTAAGACTGTTCAGAAACCTGTGTCATACCCTCTCCTCTGAGGAGATCCTTTCACTGTGCTGCCGCCTGTGACATCTCTTCCCTAACCCCGCCTCCATTTCCACGCCTGTTCTCGGCCACTTTGCATATCCACCTCCGTGCAGCATCGTTTTGAAGGCATCCCCATAATGGCGTCCAGAGAGTTGTCAGTTTGGTCAGGGCAGTCAGCTGCTGTAGCCCATCATTTGACACTTCAGTTCCACCCAGAGCAAGGCTCTCGAGCCCTGTCAGCCTACCCAAATCCACCATGCCAGCATTTGTCACACCCTTGCATTCAGTAAGCCATAACACTTCGAGGGGGGGCAGGGCTGTCAAGTGCGCCAGGCCAGCATTGGTCACCTTGGTACGATGGAGATAGAGCTGCTTGAGACTGCCCGAGGATCCAATCCCTTCTAATGCGCTGTCTGAGACGTCTGTGCAGTTGAGGTTTAGCTTCTCCAGCCGTGGTAGCCTGTAGAGGTGCTTGATGCCCTCTGCACTGAAGCCTGAGGTAGAGGATAAGTCTATGCTCATTAGGTGAGTCATTGTAGACGCATGCCTGAGGATGGTGTCTGAGAGGCTGTGGAGATCCGCCAGATTCAAATGAATTCCTTGTAATGCTGACCTGATTCGCTGGAGGGAGTTAATGACAGGAATGACCATCGTGACAATGAGCTCGCTCCATGGCATATTGAACAATGCATGGCCTGTCAAACAATGGATGGCATGTCAAACAATGGATGGCATGTCAAAGAATGGATGGCATGTCAAAGAATGCATGGGCTATCGAACAATGCATGCCGAGTTAAACAAGGCATGCCCAGTCAAACAACAAATGGCCTATCGAACATAAAGGTCAGCACTCACCTTCCATGCATCAATCTGACGGTCATCACTTCTGCACATTTCCAGCTCAAAATTTTGCCAATTTCGGCAGGCTGTCAATTCCTCCATGGCACATGGCCAATCAAGCGCCTGCACCTCCCTCCTCCTCTCCTCCCTCTCCCTTGCCAACTCCGCTCTCATTTCATCCTCTCCCTTTCTGACCTCCTCTCCAAGCTCTCTCAATTCCAATTCCCTTCGTCTCTCAGCCATATCCAGTTGCTCTGTTATAACATCCTTGTGTTCAGCCAGCCCCCCCTTCACTGCAGTCAGCTCTGCCTTCACTTTATTCAGCTCCTCGGTCAATGTTGCCAACGCTGTCTCCCTCTCCTCAACCACAGCAGCAGTTGCCACACTCCTCTCTCCCACAACATCCAGTGCATACCTCAACTCATTCACCTCATTCCCCAAAACCTGGTTCCTCTCCTCCAGTATCAACACTCGCTCATTCTGTCGGGCCACCTGCTCCCTAACCATGGCCAGCTCCCCTTTCAATGCTGTCAGCTCCCCTCTCACCAAACCGAACAGTCCGCGCAGTGCTTCAGCAATCTCATTCCCCTCCCTCTCTGTAGCCATACGTGCTGCTTTACTACAGGTAGATCCCTTCTTACAAAGGAACGCCTGAAGTGGCATGCCGATGTCGGTACGCATGAAAGCATATATGTATAGGGACATGCATAGAGAAAAGAGGCACAGGAGGCAGACATTAGGAGAAAGTGACATAGGTTTAATCCACCAAGGCGAGACGAGAATTGCTTGTCGAGTTAAGTACCCGTACTCTATTCGACTGGAAATGGGCGAAGGGGGGGGGAAGGGGGGGGGGGGGGGGGGGGCTTACAAATACAGATTTCATGTTGGCCCCTGCACCACTTGCAAAAGCATATCGTTTTTTTTAACTTGCTCAGCTAGACAGGGTGATCCTTATGTGTGGCAGGGAGTGTGGGTTTCCAGGTGGGCATGAGAGGGGGCAGGGTGGATTCTCTGGCAGAGCAGGGTGAGATTCCGCATGGGTGCTGAGGATGAGGCGGGAGTTGCTAGCAAGATGGTATTCTAGCTCCTCAAGGCGATCAACAAGGCGGCGGAGAGGGAAGGCACCCAATGCGAGTAGACATCTAGCTGTTAAGCAACGCAAACCAAAATAAGGTGAGTATACTTGGCCTCATCCACTGCTCGTGACTACATCCAAGCAGTGGAACTGAAAATCAGAGGTGCGAGCTTAACTAAGAGAGGAGCCTGGTAGAGGAAATGCGAGCTAACACATCTCTAGCGGAAAAGACGTTTCCCAACTAATAGCTGTTCTTGAAACTGAGTGGATGGAGTGGTGGGGATTCAAGGGATAATGGAAAACACATGGATGTGAGGTAATGGGACTTGCGGCAGCTATGTCTGGTCACACGTCCCTTCTTGGCGATTCCTTACCAAGTGATTACCCCATTGGCATTCAGTGTGCACTGCTTACGGAAGCGTGAGAAATTATGCATGACTATCACGCTTTTCCCTAGTGTGCTAAGCTATGGGAACGTGGAATAGACGGTGGGGATGTAGTGCGAGGATGAGAGAAACAGAGGTTGGGAGCATCGGCGAAAGGAGGAATCTGAGGATGGATGGTCGTGGCTGGCGTGCAAGCCGAAATGAATGCAATGACGGGACCAGCCTTACCTGTTTCTAGGGTTTGGAAGATTGAAACGTGTGGTAAGAGACTAGCGCAGACACTTGGCTCTGAGCTCCGCAACAGGCACCAGACACGCCAAACGATCCGAAATACGGAGTTGTGAAAAAATAGAAGCGAGAGAATGCGATGGCTTTGAAAAAAAAAAGAAGCGAGTGCGAGCGGTAAAAAGAGGGATAGATAAGATACCGATGGAAAGGATGATTTCTATCCCGCTCACTGATACTAACCGATACTAACTGCTAACTGATACTAAGTGAAACGAGGAATATTATACACGCTTTTAAAGCATAGAAACGCGACTCGTAGTTTCTGCAGGAACTACGGTGGTGGGATGAGTGTGAGCATATGTGTGCCCAACATTGTGACAGCAGCACTGGAGCCTATTCTACGACACTAGTTCAGATGCGTGGTATTTCCAGTTGATGCCTCATTTCAAGTACGAAGCTGACGAAAGGCATGTGGGGGGTATACCGTGTAAATGTCGGTCAAATGAACGAACTTGATTTGAAATGTGTAACTGGTACCTCACGAACTCAGGCATCGAATCTGAGTCACAGGGCCTGCTTGTTTGGCATTTCGCTTCGCGAAGTTAATGAATTTTGTGAACAGATAGTTCATTGCGGAAAATGGGTGGTAACTTGAGACAATCGCGATTGGAGGCAAACTCGAAATTCGAGTACCAGGTCATAATTTGATCCCATATGCTCCTTCCTACTCAAGCTATGTTCAGCTAACACTAGTATGTGCTAGCCGTGACGCATAGTAGGCGTACTACATTGCAAGCGCGCTATCTCCCATCGCAAGAGAAGTTGACTCGAATCGCTTCTACGAAACAAGTACGACTCACGGCGACGCCATTCTTCGCCACTCGTACTATACTCCGCGCATCCAGTGCTCTCGTCACTATTATTGGCCCGCTCGTTTCCTTCCGTCGCAACACTTTCGAAATTGCCGCGCCGCGCCATCACGCACCACGCGCTGCAGATCGACGCACCGCGCCGCCTCTGAGTCTCTTCGAGCCGCGGAAACACGATAGTATAAGAAACCCTAAATAGAGGTAAGCCTCCCCTTTCTTTCCCCAGTCAGACCTTCGCTTTCAAGCCTTGCAAGCCTTAGGCGCACAACTCAAAAGTCATGGTGCTCGTAGTTCTGGCAGAGGGGGTCAATGCGCAACAGTTGGTTACACACGGAGTTGCTTACGGATTCTGCATACTGCCAAGAGACTAGCAGAGCCCCTTGACGCATTCGTTGCCCCTCTTGGCATTGCTACTCTCGCCCCGGTTCACGGAGTCACGCTGTCACTCACCCATGCAATGACTGTCCAAGCCTATGACCCAACTCAGGCTGTCACCAACCGCGTTGTTAGCCTGGCCCCTTCCCGTGCTGCTAATTCACCCTGCTGTCACTGTCCTAGGCTCTGGCTGACCTAGGCTCTGGTTGACCTAGGCTCTGATCTGATTGACCTAGGCTCTGATTGACCTAGGCTCTGGGTGACCTAGTCTCTGATTGACCTAGGCTCTGATTGACCTAGGCTCTGGGTGACCTAGTCTCCGATTGACCTAGGCTCTGGTTGACCTAGGCTCTGGTTGACCTAGGCTCTGATTGACCTAGGCTCTGATTGACATAGGCTCTGGTTGACCTAGTCTCTGATTGACCTAGGCTCTGATTGACCTAGGCTCTGGTTGACCTAGTCTCTGATTGACCTAGGCTCTGATTGACCTAGGCTCTGGGTGACCTAGTCTCTGATTGACCTAGGCTCTGGTTGACCTATGCTCTGGTTGACCTAGGCTCTGATTGACCTAGGCTCTGATTGACCTAGGCTCTGGTTGACCTAGTCTCTGATTGACCTAGTCTCTGATTGACCTAGGCTCTGATTGACCTAGGCTCTGGTTGACCTAGTCTCTGATTGACCTAGGCTCTGATTGACCTAGGCTTTGGTTGACCTAGTTTTTGATTGACCTAGGCTCTGATTGACCTAGGCTCTGGTTGACCTAGGCTCTGGCTCACCTAGGCTCTGGTTGACCTAGGCTCTGATCTGATTGACCTAGGCTCTGATTGACCTAGGCTCTGGGTGACCTAGTCTCTGATTGACCTAGGCTCTGATTGACCTAGGCTCTGGGTGACCTAGTCTCTGATTGACCTAGGCTCTGGTTGACCTAGGCTCTGGTTGACCTAGGCTCTGATTGACCTAGGCTCTGATTGACCTAGGCTCTGGTTGACCTAGTCTCTGATTGACCTAGGCTCTGATTGACCTAGGCTCTGGTTGACCTAGTCTCTGATTGACCTAGGCTCTGATTGACCTAGGCTCTGCGTGACCTAGTCTCTGATTGACCTAGGCTCTGGTTGACCTATGCTCTGGTTGACCTAGGCTCTGATTGACCTAGGCTCTGATTGACCTAGGCTCTGGTTGACCTAGTCTCTGATTGACCTAGTCTCTGATTGACCTAGGCTCTGATTGACCTAGGCTCTGGTTGACCTAGTCTCTGATTGACCTAGGCTCTGATTGACCTAGGCTATGGTTGACCTAGTCTTTGATTGACCTAGGCTCTGATTGACCTAGGCTCTGGTTGACCTAGGCTCTGGTTGACCTAGTCTCTGATTGACCTAGGCTCTGATTGACCTAGGCTATGGTTGACCTAGTCTTTGATTGACCTAGGCTCTGATTGACCTAGGCTCTGGTTGACCTAGGCTCTGGTTGACCTAGGCTCTGGTTGACCTAGGCTCTGGTTGACCTAATCTCTGATTGACCTAGGCTCTGATTGACCTAGGCTCTGGTTGACCTAGTCTCTGATTGACCTAGGCTCTGATTGACCTAGGCTTTGGTTGACCTAGTTTTTGATTGACCTAGGCTCTGATTGACCTAGGCTCTGGTTGACCTAGGCTCTGGTTGACCTAGTCTTTGATTGACCTAGGCTCTGATTGACCTAGGCTCTGGTTGACCTAGGCTCTGGTTGACCTAGGCTCTGGTTGACCTAGGCTTTGGTTGACCTAGGCTCTGGTTGACCTAGTCTCTGATTGACCTAGGCTCTGATTGACCTAGGCTCTGGTTGACCTTGTCTCTGATTGACCTAGGCTCTGATTGACTTAGGCTCTGGTTGACCTAGTCTCTGATTGACCTAGGCTCTGATTGACCTAGGCTCCGGGTGACCTAGTCTCTGATTGACCTAGGCTCTGATTGACCTAGGCTCTGATTGACCTAGGCTCTGGTTGACCTAGTCTCTGATTGACCTAGGCTCTGATTGACCTAGGCTCTGGTTGACCTAGTCTTTGATTGACCTAGGCTCTGATTGACCTAGGCTCTGGGTGACCTAGTCTCTGATTGACCTAGGCTCTGATTGACCTAGTCTCTGATTGACCTAGGCTCTGGTTGACCTAGTCTCTGATTGACCTAGGCTCTGATTGACCTAGGCTCTGGTTGACCTAGTCTTTGATTGACCTGGGCTCTGATTGACCTAGGCTCTGGTTGACCTAGGCTCTGGTTGACCTAGGCTCTGATTGACCTAGGCTCTGGTTGACCTAGGCTCTGGTTGACCTAGTCTCTGATTGACCTAGGCTCTGATTGACCTAGGCTCTGGTTGACCTAGTCTCTGATTGACCTAGGCTCTGATTGACCTAGGCTCTGATTGACCTAGGCTCCGGGTGACCTAGTCTCTGATTGACCTAGGCTCTGATTGACCTAGGCTCTGATTGACCTAGGCTCTGGTTGACCTAGTCTCTGATTGACCTAGGCTCTGATTGACCTAGGCTCTGGTTGACCTAGTCTTTGATTGACCTAGGCTCTGATGGACCTAGGCTCTGGGTGACCTAGTCTCTGATTGACCTAGGCTCTGATTGACCTAGGCTCTGATTGACCTAGGCTCTGATTGACCTAGGCTCCGGGTGACCTAGTCTCTGATTGACCTAGGCTCTGATTGACCTAGGCTCTGATTGACCTAGGCTCTGGTTGACCTAGTCTCTGATTGACCTAGGCTCTGATTGACCTAGGCTCTGGTTGACCTAGTCTTTGATTGACCTAGGCTCTGATTGACCTAGGCTCTGGGTGACCTAGTCTCTGATTGACCTAGGCTCTGATTGACCTAGTCTCTGATTGACCTAGGCTCTGGTTGACCTAGTCTCTGATTGACCTAGGCTCTGATTGACCTAGGCTCTGGTTGACCTAGTCTTTGATTGACCTGGGCTCTGATTGACCTAGGCTCTGGTTGACCTAGGCTCTGGTTGACCTAGGCTCTGATTGACCTAGGCTCTGGTTGACCTAGGCTCTGGTTGACCTAGTCTCTGATTGACCTAGGCTCTGATTGACCTAGGCTCTGGTTGACCTAGTCTCTGATTGACCTAGGCTCTGATTGACCTAGGCTCTGATTGACCTAGGCTCCGGGTGACCTAGTCTCTGATTGACCTAGGCTCTGATTGACCTAGGCTCTGATTGACCTAGGCTCTGGTTGACCTAGTCTCTGATTGACCTAGGCTCTGATTGACCTAGGCTCTGGTTGACCTAGTCTTTGATTGACCTAGGCTCTGATGGACCTAGGCTCTGGGTGACCTAGTCTCTGATTGACCTAGGCTCTGATTGACCTAGGCTCTGATTGACCTAGGCTCTGGTTGACCTAGTCTCTGATTGACCTAGGCTCTGATTGACCTAGGCTATGGTTGACCTAGTCTTTGATTGACCTAGGCTCTGATTGACCTAGGCTCTGGTTGACCTAGGCTCTGGTTGACCTAGGCTCTGGTTGACCTAGCCTCTAGTTGACCTAGTCTCTGATTGACCTAGGCTCTGATTGACCTAGGCTCTGGTTGACCTAGTCTCTGATTGACCTAGGCTCTGATTGACCTAGGCTCTGATTGACCTAGGCTCTGATTGACCTAGGCTCTGATTGACCTAGGCTCTGGGTGACCTAGTCTCTCATTGACCTACGCTCTGATTGACCTATGCTCTGGTTGACCTAGTCTCTGATTGACCTAGGCTCTGATTGACCTAGGCTCTGGTTGACCTAGTCTTTGATTGACCTAGGCTCTGATTGACCTAGGCTCTGGGTGACCTAGTCTCTGATTGACCTAGGCTCTGATTGACCTAGGCTCTGATTGACCTAGGCTCTGGTTGACCTAGTCTCTGATTGACCTAGGCTCTGATTGACCTAGGCTATGGTTGACCTAGTCTTTGATTGACCTAGGCTCTGATTGACCTAGGCTCTGGTTGACCTAGGCTCTGGTTGACCTAGGCTCTGGTTGACCAAGGCTCTGGTTGACCTAGGCTCTGGTTGACCTAGTCTCTGATTGACCTAGGCTCTGATTGACCTAGGCTCTGGTTGACCTAGTCTCTGATTGACCTAGGCTCTGATTGACCTAGGCTCTGATTGACCTAGGCTCTGATTGACCTAGGCTCTGATTGACCTAGGCTCTGGGTGACCTAGTCTCTGATTGACCTAGGCTCTGGTTGACCTATGCTCTGGTTGACCTAGGCTCTGATTGACCTAGGCTCTGATTGACCTAGGCTCTGGTTGACCTAGTCTCTGATTGACCTAGGCTCTGATTGACCTAGGCTCT